ATGTAACACTTGGTTTCATCTTATTTGCTCTGGTGCAGTGAATATTATTCAAATATTTCTCATTTGTCACTTTAAACTCAAATAGTTTTGTGAATTTTCTTGTGATGATAGAATTATTCATATTATGTGAGAAATGCACATTCTTCTATCTCTTGAAAAAATTCTATTTGTTTGTTCCACTGACCTCATCTGAGAGGCAGGCAATGTGCATTTTGTCTGCGAGAAAAGAAACGAAAAGAAAAGTGTGTGACTCTCATTTTATCTCAGAATATTCAGAGAGAGAGAGAAAAAAGAAAGAATTGAAGAAAAGCAAAAGAAAATGACGAATGAAAATGAAAAGAAGTTGAGAAAATGAAATAATTTAACACCCGCGTTAGCCTTGACTTAATTTTACTAGGAGATTCCTCTTCAACTCGGGGTAATTATAACGCATGAGACAGAATATTTTCCCATGAGGTGCTTCACTCATTTTCTTCACGTTGAGGCAGACAGTTGAGTGCGCGACTGGTTGATGAAGTTTTGTGGAAAAGTGTTGTGATTTAATTTCATCACCATTTATCAATCAATTTCAATTATATTCATATTAAAATATATATGCATATTTCGTGATATTTTAATCTCGTGGTCAAGATGAAGATATTTCATTTAATACGTGCGAGTTGACATTCAACGTAAAACTGAAAGTCACACTGAAGATCTCTTTGTTTGACGGGAATATTTATAATAAAGTTTTTTTTTGTTTTGGCGAATTTGACGCACTTCTCTGTTGGTGACTTTCCATAGAGGAAGAAAAAGATTAGCCCTGGATGAATGCCAATCACTTTTGTGCAATTTTCACACTTGTAAAGAAAGAAAGTTCATTAAAACACATCTCTTTATGATCATTTTTCCACTACGACGATTCACAGTGATTTGAGTCCAAAGAGTGGAGAGACGACAATGTCGAGTAAGGGAGCTAAATATGAGGGTGCAGATTCGGGAAAAAATCTGTCAACCCTCAATCGTCTCAGCAGATATTCCAAGAATTTGAGTCCTGTGTCATCGTACTACAAGCCACTGATGAGGACCTTTGGGAAGCGTGATGATTCACCGATAGACAAAGTAGTGAGAATTAAAGTAGAGCTCTGGTTGAGTGATTTTCTCAAAATACTCTCTCTCTCTGTTCTGGTTCTTCTTCTCTGTGTTGTATTAGATCAAAGAGGAGGAGCATGAGAAGACACCTGTCGCTGAGGTGACAAAGAGTAGCACATTGTCGACAATATCGCGATTGGAGAGCAAGTATTCGGATATATTGGATCGCGTGGCGAAGAGAAAGCGCCAGCAGAAGGCGGAAGAGGAGGATAGGGAGAAGACTCTGGAGCCAGATCGGCCCTTGACCCTCAATCCGCTGTCCAAGAGTGCAACATCGGCAGTACTTGGAGGGTACACGACCAGCCATCAGCAGCCAAAGGAGAGAACACCTTATAGATTGAGTGGGAGGTCACATAGGAATAAATATCTCGATGTGAGTGACAGTGAATTGACGCGATCGCGAGATTTGGGACTCTTGTCGGACAGAAATGGCATTGACTATCGCACTCGCAATAGAGTTGGTGGTGATCTTGATAATGGCACTGGCAGTCGATACAAAGATACCATTTATGATACGTACAAGAGTTCCTATAAGAACAGCTATCAGGATCCTGTGGGACGTTCGAGAGAATTTGGCTACTATGATGGGCGATATGATAAGGAGAATGTCTTCAAGTCGAAGTACGATCCTGATGCTCTGTATGCGGAGATTAACAATAATGACTCACTGTATGGAAGCAGTGGACTCAGGAAGCGCCCGATTAGGTCCTATCGAAGGACCGGTGATACGCCTGGTGATAGAAAACACTTGACGATGCGAGTCGATCCGGTGGACAGTGATAGACCAACAACGAGTCGTACATTGACGACGGGACGCAAGAGTTTGGGCGCAACTGCCTATCAGAGGTCAAATACACAGAGATTCTTTGACATGGAGAATAATGTGACCGAATCCTCGGATAACAGTGAGAGGGAGAATCGCAGGAAGGAGATTCAGAGTCTTATCATGAAGTATGCTCAATTGGATGATGTCTATGGACGATCACGCGAGATGGACGATCAGATTAACAATAATAACACGGAGAGGAAATTGAGTCAGTTGCACAAGAGCGGCGAAATGTCAGAGAGTCAGCTGCCAACCCTCCAAGTAGTGCCAATTTTGCCACTCAATAAAACCCAAAGCTCCATGGCCATACCATCGATGCGATCGAGGAAGAATCTCATGACTTTCGTAAGGATGATTTATATGATAAGATCACAACTGCAAAAGAAATATGTTTCAGTGTGCCTAAATCCTCAATTTATCTCCCAAAAAAAACCTTTTTGGCGTGTGACTGTGAATGGGAGAAATTTTTGGATGCTATAAATCACATTTTATACCTCGCAATATTAATACTTGGAGTCTTTTTTTTCTCTTTATATATTGTATATCTCTGTCGAACGATCACTCTAATTAATACAAAAGAATCGTGAGTCGCAAAAAAAAACACCTCAACCTTCTTCTTGATTCAGAAAGAGAGAAAATTGAGATCCAATGGTGAATTTTATTGGGAAAAAGTTTTATTTCACGCTTGAAAATATAAAAATTTTTTCTCAAGATCATCTCAGATACACACAATAAAATAAAAAAAAAATATACATTCCATAAAGTCTTAGTTTTGCTATTTTATTTCTCACATCAATAAAAGACATAATTTTTTCATTGATCTTTTCATCCTCTTTGGCATCTGAAGTTGTCAACTAAAATATTTACAAGTGAAAAATTAATGCGAAAATAATTTTAGGCATACGAATGGAATGAGAGAGAAAGAAAAAGAGCGGGAATATGACTGGAAAAAAGTTATAATTTTTTTAATGCTTTGACATATTTTCCATTGACCATTTGTGAAGGTGAATCCGTGCTTTTTGTCATGCTTTAAGTGCTAAATTTCTCAATTATAAAATTTAGTGATTTGCGATAACGAAGAATTTTACGCAAAAACTCTCAAATGTTCAATGATCAAGAGACAATCTTTCACCCAAAAAGAAATGCTTGATCCGCTATTTTTTCTCACTCTGATTTATTGACAACCTATTTTTCATTACTAATTGATTTTTCCATAATTATATTTGATTGCTTTTATCGCTTGAACTTCACTGTTTTTGGCGAGAAGGTGTCAGAGAAAATGTAAACTACAAGGCGGAAGTTTTGATATTAAAATGCTTCGGTGATAAATTTTTTTTTTCTTCAAATATGCATTCTTTGAGCGATTTCTGATCGTATTTTACCGTAAGAATTTTTTTCTGGTGGTTTTGATGAATTAACGATCATTAGCATTTCCTTGAGGGGGAAAATAGCGCGTGACATTAATAAGAGTTTAGTCGATAAGCTATATTTGTTGTTTTGTGACTCTGAATGATGAGATTTTTGTTCTTAATTTTTGCCTTTTGCCAGCAGAAAAAAACATCCTTTCCTCTTCCTGGTTGGTTTTCATGACATTTTGTGTGTGTTATAATAATAAAAATGGCACAGAGCGAGAAGAAGAGAAAGTGGATGGCGATAGTCTTGGTAAAGCTATCAATATTCACATGGTAAAGATAAAAAATATCTGCCACATTAGTGAAATTTTTAGGACACCTTTTCCCTCTTAATGTTTTCTGCGAATTTTTGTGTGTGTGTAAAGAAAAAACAAGAAACAGCGGAGAAAATGGTTCGAATGATGGATTGAATGTGAAGATTGACTCTCAAAGTTTATGATTATATGACAAACTTTTGTGCTGAGTTGATTAATGTTGTGTCTCAAAACATGATCATTAATCAATTGATGAATTTAACTTCAAGTTGCATTTATGATTGGCTTCTGTGTATTTAATGAATTTTATATATTTGTTTGTTCTTTTCTCTATTTTAAGAGCGATAGAAAACAAAAAAAAAACAATTATGAGTTGCAATTGAGATGTTTCACATCTCTCAATTTAACACACATATCTTTTTTCTCGACATATATTTACAAATAATCCTTGTTCTTTGATGAAGAAGAAGAAAAAAAATCCTCCTTAACATACTTTTAATTAAAAAATACACCCTCTATCTTTAACTGCTATTATAAACCAAAAATATCGTGCACGCATTTTGTTTCTTTGTCCTCTGATGGCAATCTTAATCTTAAAAAAAGAGAGAGAGCATATAAAAGTTGATAAGAGCTTAATGACAGCATTTTTGTTGTTGATTAAACACAAATTAAGCGAATGTGGTGCTCGATGAAAGAACTACCAAAAAAAAAACATGATAAAATCTCTAAAATATCTGTCCCTGACAAACTAATTTTCTTACCGAAAATCGATACCGTATTTTTCTCGTGTCTCTTCTTCGATGATGAACTTGATGATGATGTGATGATGATGATGGTGTTATGATGGTGTGAACACACAACATGGGGCCAACAACTGCATCTTGCGCCGCGAAACCAACGACCCTGTTTGACGCTGTGAACCTGAATCGACCTGGCCGACACCCGCGATGCCATGCGCCCACATTGCCGCCCGGCTGCCTCTGATGATGATGATGTTGATGATGATGATGATGATGGACGCTGTCTGGTGATGACAATGATCAAATTGATGCGATGTGATCGACAAAAAATTGCACTGGGGGATCCGATGTGCGTGATTTTCTCTCTTTTTATCTCTCTTTGTTGCGCGCCACTCGGTGGGAACCCCAATGATCAAATGTGCCACCGATCGACGATGACCTTCTTCAACTCTCTGATGATTGGATGATGGCTAAATTCCGACCGATTTGACGGGGCGCAATGATGTGCGCGTGAAATGCGCTCTCTCAACCTGACATGGATGAAATGGATATTGCGAAATCACCTGGGCCAATGAATGATATCCTATCAATTGATGATCTCGATGATGATGTTGATGTTGATGATGATGATGCACAGGCCACCAGACCCCCATCGATCCGAGATGATAAGGAGGGACACTTGATTTATCACACCGGCGACATTCTGCATAACAGATGTTCGTGACAATTTTGTGAAACCAAACTATAAACTGCATTTTTTGCCCATTTCACTGTTCCAACTGTGCAGAAATTCATGTGTGAGATAATCCGGAAAATTTCAATTTTTGCTTGATCAATTTTGTAGATCCTTTGAGAGACATTGAAGATCACGGTTTCTTCTAAATTTAGCACACAAATCTTTCTCAGACAGCAAAAACAAGTTGTGATGTGAAGAAATATGTAGTAGATATATATTAATCTGATGTTTTTTTTTCATGCCATGCCTAACATTGAAATTTTTTCGGCAGTTTCTGTGCAATGGGAACAGTGATCGCGTCCAAAATGTGGGAAATATTAAGAAGCTGGTATTTGTCAACTCCTTTAAATCTTCTAAGATTATTATTATTCTGTTCCAATTTCCACATTCGATTTTTGAGGTTGTTCCCTAATTAAATTTACCACTTTTTGCGCGCATTGATCGTCTCAAGATCATTTGTGAGATCTTTGCTAATTTTGCCAAAGCGATCACTCATAATTTCTCAGACTTTTTTCTCATCGTGCTATGTTTTCTTTATATATAAATTACATAAATTTAACATATATATTTCGATGTGGGAAAATAGTGAGAGAAAGAGAGAAGAAAATGACAAATGCTTGCTTCTAAAATTTCTACCTCTCCATCTTGCCAATACACGAAAAGTCTTCTTTTTCACATGAATCGTAAATTTCAATAGTGATGAATTTTATTAGTAAACATTTGAGGAGAAACAGTACCAAGGTTGTGGGTTTTAAGCAGAGAGTGAGAGAGAGAAAATGTGGCCCATAAGGTGTCACAGAATTTATTTATATTTCACCATTGGCGATATATTTACAGAAAACTGAGGAAAATTTGAAATTCGTGTGTGAAATATATACAATTTGTCTGGTAATTTTCATTCTACTCACAAATTCATTTTCAAAATACACTTTTCTGCAATAATAATGTGTAATGTTTCGCTGTAATAAAGGCGAAGAAGAAGAAAAGAAGGAAGTGAGAAAAGTAGGGCAAGATCGAGAGATTAAGAAATTTTAACCTTGAATGATGATGATGATGATGTTTGGGGGGAAAATAAGAGCCAAATGAATAATCGCGAAATGATCAGGATAAGAGGAAAATATTGTGGGTTCACAGAAGTCCTTCCAAAATTTAGTTATTGGTAGGATTTTTTTTTATATTACTGAGGCGTTAATTAATTAGTTTGAAAAAGCAAAATATCCTGTTTTCCCCAAGTGAACGATAAAAGAAAAGAAAGAAAAAAATGATGAAAGGAAATATCTTTTTTTGGGGAAGGCGACAATGTCAGATTGGGACTAATTCGCTTGATTTCTCTCTTTCAGACAAAATTCTGGCCACACTGGGTGAAGGAACCTTTGGGCGTGTTGTTAAGGTCAAGGATTTGCAGATGTGAGTATATATTTTGTTAATTATTGTTCTCATGAACTATTTTTAGTGACACGAGAATAGTTATGACTTTTGACGAGAATCTCTCTATACAATATATAATTCATAATGTGATTAGTTTCACTGACTCTGTCGTGTGTGCTGATGAGGTTTTATTCTATTTTTAGGGATCACTGTATGGCTCTGAAGATCATCAAGAATGTGGAGAAATATCGCGAAGCTGCCAAGCTTGAGATAAATGCATTGGAGAAGATTGCGGAGAAGGATCCAAATTGTGAACAGTGAGTGACAATTTTTTTGCATACAAAATACCTCTTTTGAGAAGTGTTAATCATCATTAAAAGAAGTGTGAGGGAAGAATAAAAAGAAATATTGTGATATAGTTGAATGAACAGTAAAGAGATCAAAACCCAAGAGAAGTTCAGTGCGGAATGAGAAGAAAAGACTGCATTAAGTCTCTCACTCTCTATATCTCTGTGTTCAAATATCAAATAAGGAAAATACCTATCTTTTGAATTATACTTTTCTGCATAAATATATTATATTTTTATTTTCATTAATTGATATTGGCCAAAATTGTTGCGAAATATGCGATCACTGTTCTTTTTTTGGACAACATCGTGTAGGGGAATAACATAAAAGCCTAATGCAATATTTTGTATGATCGCGATCGCTATCGTCTTTAATGATCATCTCATGGTAATTTTACAGTATATTTTGTGGTTTTTAGCAGAGGCAAAGAGCCGCCACAATCTTCACGATTGTACGCAAAACAACAGTACTGTAATGTTCTCTCTACTAAATCCTCTTTTGCAGCCTCTGTGTTCGTATGCTGGATTGGTTCAACTATCATGGGCACATGTGTATTGCGTTCGAGATGCTGGGATTGAGTGTTTTCGATTTTCTGGTGAGTCTTAAGCTCATATTTTTAATGTTATTGCAGTGCAATTTAACATCCCTTTTCTTCCTTCAGAGGGAAAACAACTATGAACCCTATCCACTGGATCATGTGCGCCACATGTCATACCAATTGATATACTCTGTGAAGTTTCTCCACGACAACAAGTTGACACACACTGATCTGAAGCCGGAGAATATCCTGTTTGTGGACTCCGAATACAGCACGACGTTCAATCTCAAGAAGAGCCGCGATGTTCACTTCGTGAAGTGCACCGATGTGCGTCTGATTGATTTTGGCAGTGCCACATTTGACCACGAACATCACAGCACAATTGTGTCCACGCGTCACTATCGTGCTCCAGAAGTGATCTTGGAACTCGGATGGTCGCAACCGTGCGACGTCTGGTCAATTGGGTGAGATATTTTAATATTTAGCGTTAATACAGCTGCGAAATGTGCTAAATTTACTTCAAAAACCCTCAAAACGCCTTCAAATTGTCCGTTAAAGTGCAATAATTGTTCTGTATTTATTATTTTGAGAATATTTCAGTTGATTTTATTGGTATTTATTGAAATTTTTGACTAAAACATGGCAAATTTAATAGAAAATCTGAAAATATGACTTTCCAAAGTCAATTTTTAATAGTCTTCAAGTCGATTTTACTGAAAAAATTAAAAGATATGAGAAATATTCATTCAAAGTCTAAAAAACATTTTAGGATGATTCTGAAAGTCTAAAATTATTTTCTGAAAAGGCGTTTTATGCGTTTGACTGCAATTTTTGAGGCATTTTTCTTAGAAAAATTTGCTGAATATTCGATTTTTCATTCATTAAACATGACAATTTTTTCCATTTGTGCTTTTTATTTATTGTTTATTTATTGTCTTCTGCAGATGCATCATGTTTGAGCTGTATTTGGGAATTACACTTTTCCAAACGCACGATAACAGAGAACATTTGGCTATGATGGAGAGAATTCTTGGAGCAATTCCGTATCGAATGGCCAAGTAAGTATTGAAATTTTAACTCATTGAGAGACATTGAAGATCTCTTTGCGATCATGTAATTACAAGATGACAGAAACAATCTTCCTGGTCAAGGCAATTATAAGATGAATTAGACTTTATCGAGATCTTCCTGTGTGTGTCTCTCTGTAATTTATTCATTTTGTGTGTTTGTGTTATTTTAAGACATCGAATACCATTCATTCAGCCTTGGCGTGTGAAGAAAAATAATGGAAACATATGATTTTTGCGATTCTGACAAATTTTCTTCACTTAAGATAATTACATGTTTGGAGGAAATGCGAATGTCAAGACTGCAATTTCATGTTAAAGATTATTTCATGTCTTGTCTTTAGTCATCTTCTTGATGATGATAAAATTCCAAAATATCTTGAAATCATTCTTCTCTTTAAAACAAAGATTGGCTTAGAGTGAATGTTTGGTGTTACATAAATGATTTGAAAGGAAATAAGTCGGCAGAGAATGCACGAAAATGTGCTATTTTCACGAATAATACTTGCATGATTGCCTGTCTTGCGGAAGGTAATAGGTTTCTCAATATTATGTTGATTGCTTTCGATCTCATGTGGATTTTGTAGGTGAAGTGAGTAGTTTGTTCGGTTTGGGAATAATAATAATTTTGGTAATAAATTGAGATAAAACATGATCGATCGCTCAAGGTGATCTACACTTGAGTGAGAGAGATCTTCACTTGTACAATCGCCGCGTATAAATTCTTGTGGGATGACAAGATAAAAGAGAACAGAAAAAACACTGAGAAAACCTTGCAGATGATTTCAATTCCTCACATTATATTCTTCTTTATCTCTCTCTGTGCGTTTGCAGGAAGACAAAGACAAAGTACTTCTACCATGGAAAGCTGAATTGGGATGAGAAATCATCGGCCGGACGGTACGTGCGTGATCACTGCAAGCCACTTGAGAAGTATATGTTGTCAAAGAGTTCGGATCACGTGCAGTTGTTCGACTTAATAAAGCGGATGCTTGAATATGAGCCAAGTCAACGCATGACATTAGGTGAGGTGAAAATTGGATCTCTTATTTGCGTTCGTTCGTTTGTCTGCATTTTGCAACAAAACACATCTTCTTCCGACATTCTATTTCCGCGTCATCCTCTTATGGTTGCGATTAATGGTGAATAATATGTCTTTTCCCTGTGCAGGTGAGGCTCTTCGTCATCCATTTTTCGCCAAATTGCCGCCACATCAGCGGTTAGCCGACAAGGATTTGGCAAATTCGTCAAATAGCAGCCGTGAACGATCTCATAGTCTATCGAGATGAGATTCAGCACGATTTGGTTATTATTAAACAATTGCAGTTGTAACTATTCCGCCCTTCCTTCTTACATCCCTCTCACTATTCTCTTTCCCTTTTCATCTCTCAAGAAAGTGGTGCGTTTTGTTTTTTCCTATTTCAACAGTCACAAAACACACAATTTATTTGGATTGATTGAAAATTGCAAGCAATAATCTAAATGTTTGACTACATTTTACTTATTGATTTCTGCATGATTTATAGACAAAATTTTGATATAAAGTGACAATTTGCTCTAGGCTAGAGTTGTTCAGCTAGAGAGAGAGAAATATTGCACAGAAAAGTATCTTGATTTTGGTGGTGTTTTTTAGGAGATGAAAAGGGAAATTGCTAAGAAAGAAATAAAATTAATGAGGTTATTAGAATAACAAATGAGAAACACGGTTTGGATAAATGTGGAAAATGGAAGAACAATAATATCAATTAGAAGGAATTTCCACAATTTTTCTTTTCTGACAAATATTTGTGTTAAAAAAAAACCGTGTTTTTGTGGGATTGATCGAAATGTGCGTAGTTTTTTTGTAAATCAAACTTGTGAATGGAAGGAATTTCAATTTTAGGAGAGAATTGTATAAAGAATATAAACTTTGAAGGCGAAAAAAGCTACAAAATGAGTATAATTGATTAATAATACACCAAATCGTAGATCCAGGAAAGAGAAGGAGGAGAAGAAAAAACTATTATTTAATTTGATGAAGAAAACAAAACAAGACGATTCTTGATATTTCAAAAAATTTATTTTTCCACTTTATTTAGGCATTATTCTTTGTTTCTGTTCTATCGTAGAAGTACAAGCGAAAGAGAGAGAAAGAGAAAATGTTGTTTTCCTGTATCAATTTACTATATTTTCTTTAGTTTATCTCTTCCATGCATTACTTTAGTTATTTTTCTTTGTCCTGAAATTTTATCTGTAACGTCATGATAATATCAAATTTTCTTGATTTTTTTTTTGAGAAAAACTTTACCTGTAGATGACAATGCTGATGAGAGTCAAAGAAGAAAAAGGAGTAACGAGTAAAAAGTGGTATTGCATTAAGGAGTAAAAGGAGTTTTTGGAGTTGTAATAAAGAGAGAGAAAAGAGAATTCCAGAAGAATATTTTCTTTTGGAATTTGATTTTGATGTTTATTTTTTATCTGACAAACTGAGCATAGATATTTTCAATTGATGAGAAAGTGCTGATGAAGAGCCACAAATGTGTTTTTATTTTTCTTTCTGATGGACAAATCACAAATTCTGATGTGATTTCTTCATTTTTTTGTGGGAATGACCAAGAAAGTTGAGATTTTGTTGAAGGAGAAAAGAAAAAAAAATAGCACGAAGAGAATGATTTTGTCGATTCCTAGAGAATTTTTTTGGAGTGTGTGTGTGTAAAAACACACCAACAATCTATGCGTAAATTAATTTAGAATGATGAACATAATTGAAAAACAAGAACTATTATATGATGAAAAAAATGATGATTGTTTAAGAGAAAAAAATTACTTAGAAATAAATGAAAGAGTTGTGAAAATATTGAGCAAACTTGTTCTGTCGTAAAATATTTTTGCCAGAAAACACAAAATCTTTTACTTTGAATTCTGCGAATTCTGCATTTCAGCTGTCGTGCATACGCTGTGTCTGCATTGTATGCATATGATGCGCATCTTAGTCATCATCCAGACGCTGAGCTTAAGCTGTCACTTCTTATGCTCATCGGCAAAGGCTCTATTTGTTTTCAATTGATCCGTTGCAAGTTTTCAATAAGCTTTTTATGCTTGTGTGATGAAATTATATAACATCAAAATGCTGACATGCTTATCATCACAATAGTAGCGCCAAAAGGGAGTGTGTGAAGAGAGTTCAACGGAATCCGAACTCACCCCAAAAGTGTCTGGAAAGGAAGTTTCTCTCCGTTGATCGAATCTCATAAACTTTTTCCTTCGTATCTATTTTTGTTCAACTATTTTTCGCTGAACTGCAAAAATATTCAAATATTAATTTACATGCGTGGGTGTTGTTATTGCGTGGAAATTGTCTGAACTCCTCTCATTTCCTCACCCATGCTGAGAGGAGGTGAATCACCTTGTGTGTCTGTGAAAGGAATCAATCTTCGGGGGTCAAGCGAGCGATTATCATGTGATGATGGCATGAATTTCCGGAGAGAAAATGCCCCAAACTGAGATTGCAAGATAAACCAGTGAGTGGATTGAATTACAGTGAAACTCTTAAGGTTTTAGCACAACAAGAACTGGATGAAGAAGTGATTTGGCAATGTTGGAAAATGATTGAATGTAAATTCATTGACTAGACTGTGGGTGGATTTCTCCACTCAAGAAGAAGGATTCAGCAGAGAGAGAGTATTTAAGGTGAAGTGTGTGTTGAAGCTGCTCCTGTGAAGCCACAGGAAATGACTCGAAGGAACGTGTGAGTCTCATATTTTCCACCCCCAAACTCAATTCCATTTTTCAATTGACAGAAAAATGTTTGTAGAAATTTTCTTTGCCATAAATTTTGATAAATAGAGAGTCTATCGAGGACGGCTTTTCACCTTCCTGTAATTTGACAAGGAAACGAAGGGCAAGGTTTCCCATTACAAATTCCAAGGATATGAAGGTATTTTTACGTTAATATAAAACGTGATATCGGAAAAAAGGATCTTCTCTCTCTGGGGCTATTTTTAGGGTTGATTTCTTTGGATGTGCAAATAATGGAAATGACAGTGCCACCAAAATTGACTTCTTTGGCCAATTTGCTGGTGTTTTCACAATTGTAGACGAAAGTTGAAACTTTGCAAGATTTCTGACAAACTATTGCAATTGACATGAAGGGAAAATTGTAGCAAAAAGCCCTGAATTGTTTCAAAAACTGTCAATTGAACATGAAACCACAAATCAATAGCAATTTTATAAAAATCTGCACTGAAACATTCACCACAAGGAGAATCAGCAGAACTATTGTTGAAGCAGAACAATATCATTTGAATTTTATTAGAGAAAAAGCTGCGTTGAATTATTTATTTAAATTAATTTTTAACACATTTATATAATGACAAAATGTCGGTGAAGCGTAAAAAGCCATAAAATTGAATCACAGCTGAAGTCAATCATGCAAATAAACGCAACTCACCTTTCATCTAGTCAATTGGGAGAGCTTTTCAAGTCGCTCTTTGTTCCATCAAAACCCTGCATCGAAAGCCACTCAAAATCACAACCAGACCAACAAAGTCACTTTGCTGTTTTGCCTCCAAATTGCGTCACAGTTTATGCAACCCCTTGTCGATCCCACTGGGAAATTGGATAAATTGAAGGGTATTTGTTCTCAAGTGCACACAATCAGCCATCATCTTAGCTGACGCGATAATTCATACCCGCGAAATTAACTCCTTCTGGAGATGAACGTCAAATTAAGTGGGAAGAAAATACTTGCCACCTTCTTTCAGGACGAATTTCAGGAGTTCTCAACCACCCCAGAAAGGAAAGGGAGGAGTTGCGTGTAAAGAGCTATTAAGTATTTGCCTCACAAATCCTCTTGATTGCCTTCCTCCTTTACCTGAAAATCCTTGCTCAAGGGTGTTTTTTTCTTCTTTTCTCTCCTCCATTGAAAACACTTTAGCCCAGTCAGTCTTCCTGGAAATTTTGGGTTTCCGGGTTAAGGTTTATGACCCCATTTTACACCATTAAAAGCATTTTAAGTGCGCGGTATTTTCCCTTGATGGGCGATAATTGTTTTCGATGATTTCTCAAACACAATCGCTGAAAAGTTAAGGGAAAACTTCCACGGAATCAAAGGAAGAGACTTCAATGCCATTATTATATTAAATTTGCCAGTGACTTTTCCCACATTGCGTGCGCTTGGCAGGAGTGTGCTGAAAAATCCTGATAACACAATTCTCCCGAGTGGCCTTAATTCCGTTTGCCGCGAAAGGATGAGTTGAAATTGAGAAAAACATCCACTCAATGTTTCATTATCTCCCACAGTGAGATTCTTCACAGTTATATTTTCCATTTTGTGTGTTTTCAACACATATTTTCTCCGTCATTTTATTAAAATTAAAATATGTATTTGATATGAGCAACTTCTTCAAAACCAATAAGATGCTTCTTTCTTTTCTCTGCCTTTCATTTGTGATTTTGACAACAGATATAAAATTTATTTATGCTAACAAATAGAAGTGCTTTTCCTTCGCCAAAAATTGTTCTTCTTCACAATTTCCTTTGATTTTCTGGTGTGTGGAAATTGTGAAAAAGTCTCAGGATTTGAAAGGAGGATTTTTTCTCTCTTTGGTCTCAATGATTTAATTGGAAGTCTTTGAAGAGGAAAATCATTGAGAGCAAAACTTAGGCTCTAATCATACTGAGACTATTTTTCTTTTCTTTTTTTTACACATTAACCATTTACAAAGTGTCTTGAGTTATTTCTTTAGTAATACATTTGAGGCTAAATTCTAAGAGATTTTTCCTTGGTAAGTTTAAATACAAAAATACTTCTAAGTTTACTAACTTCAATTTTGCTCCATGTTTTAATTGATCCAATTTTGTATTAATATCCAGGGAAATTTTGTGTGAATTTCCTCATCATATGGCAAACTTTCATGATAATTTTTCCAAGAAAGTCCTCGAGAAGCAGGAGAATTTATATGTATGTTTTAGTGCCGTGAGAGAATTCTTGAGAAACTCACAAAACAATTCACTGGTTGAATTGTGCTCTTGATTCTCAAGTCTTCTTCAGTGTTTCTTAACATTAAAATTTCTTTTTACACTTAGTAAAATTTAGTCTCAATTAGTCTTACGTATATACAGAAAATTGTGAGCATTTTGCCCGGAGAATTTAGAAAATAAAAACAATTCTATTGAGCACTATCTTTCCTTGTCACATTGATGGGAATGTTCTACTGTTCTCACTATATTTTTTTCCATATTAGAATTATTATATTTTTCACTTGAAAATTGACAAAAATTTCAGGATCAAAACTACAGATTTGAAAGCACGAAATTGTCAATTTTCAGTGCGACATTAAAGGACTTTTATTCTTGTTGTCTCGCTAGAATCTCTACCAATGTTCCCACAGATTGTGTACTCACAGATGATTTATATCTACACATGCCCCCAGATTTCACCCCATTTAGGGGTCTCAGAGCACCCTCGTCAAGCCCTCTGGCACGGAGAATAACTCTGCGTCCAGGAGGCATGCGAGGAATGCTCAGCCCAGAGGCGGCGACTCGTCGACGCTGCTGAGACGGCCGCGAGTCACCCACGAGACGCGGAGCTTGAGGCGCTCCCGTCAGGGACGTGACGATCGCCGTGTCGCCTTCTCGTCTGCGCCCAGCAGCGTCTGGTGGTGATTATTGTGGCCGTTCTCGATGAACGACGTCTGGATTGTCTGCTGGCGCGTGAAGTCGCGCACGCTGGCCAATTGGTAGTTGCTCCTGGAGCTGGGACTCACGTTGTTCAGCCTTGTTCCCGGCGTGTGGGCGCTGTGGTACATCGATCGATCCTCCACGCGCCCTCGGCCAGAGCCACAACATCGACACTTCTCCAGAGCATTCTTGAACTCCCGCCGGAACTTGCCTGCAATGAACCGAGCACAGCATTATGTTCAGCACAAATTTGAACTTTGAAAGCTCTCCTTGTGTTCTCTGGGTGAGAACAATTTGGCAAATTCGCGAATTATGAGGAAAGTTTGCTTGCTGATTCACTGCCCTTGAATTTTGTGGGGAAACTTTGGCTTCCAGACGATGCTAAACGGCCTCAAAAGTATTGAAATTCCTTTTGAGACTTAGGAAACTTCCTCCAAAATTCAATTCGCTGAAAAATTGAATGAGAACTTTCGGTTTGGCAAGACTTCCTGTGTTCATAATTTATGCCCTTCGAGCTGTGTTTAAAACTCCTTAATTTCTCCTAACATTGACCAAATGACCGACAAAATTCCACCAAGAATTCTGTTAAATCACTCAATTTAATAGAAAACCTCACATATTTCATGCACATGACAAATTTATCTCACTCCCAATTCAGTGAGACATCATGCAGAGTGATATCCTTGCGCAAGAGACGCATTTCCATCTGATTTCGCCCAAGGAGCAATATTGGGTGAAAGGTCAGGAGAAATTTTCGCACAATCATCACTGCCTTTGTCCAGAGAATCCAGAGAAAGATATTCACTGCCAAAGTGGAGAGTTGAAGAGATAAAACCAGAGGCAAATTTTCCCTCCTCCGAACGATAAAATTTACCGCCTTTTCCATCCGCCTCGTTTGAATTGATGCTCCTTTATTCAAATCATTTCACATCTCGCTCAATTGACAAGATAGAAAAGAGAGCTTGTTTTATGCATAAATTCCCACACACACAGAACAACAAGTCAAATAAAAAGGGCAATTAATAAAATTGATGGCACAGTGCGAATGAGGAATTAATATCCGCATAAATTATTTATGGACACAACAAACTCCTTAACAAATTCTACTCAGGAAGAGTTTTGATTGCGACACATAAATCGCAAGAAACGCACGTTGAATTCTCGTTTCGGGTTTGTGCAAGGGGGAGATAATATGCCTAGAAGAGTTCTGACCAAATTGTGAGGTTATGTATCAAGCTTAAAAACCCTTCTTGGACTAATTTTAATCTTTTCAGACTGAAAAATGAGTAAATACAACGAATATCTCATTGACTCTACAAGATAACTAGGTTAATTTCCCACTTTGAAGCAAAAACCGCAGAAATAACTAAGAAAATAGATAATCTTCTAGACTGAAATGATATTTTTGAGGTTATGTTTAACTTTAAAGATTTTTCTCAATGAATATGAAGTTTTCCGAACAGAAAAGCTCAACTTCATGTAAGAAAAAGAGAAATATTCCCAAATTAAAGATAAAGTTGATAATTTTGAGGGATATTGAATTACAAAAACCTCAAAAACCTCAAAAACCTGTCTTAAATCAATTGCATAACCTATAAAAGCAATAAAATTAATATTCCTAAGAAAAATAACATGGGAAATGTCTAAATTTGTTGAAGAAAAAGCTTTTTCTGTGCAAATATTTGAAATATTAAAACACTCCCTAATCCTAACACTTCCACAAAAGCTGTACACCACTTCGTCTCATAATATATTCCCCTTGGATTTGTGTACAAAGAATCACATTAGCTTTGAGAGTAACAAAATAATATTTTTCATGTCTTTCTTGACATTTTCGTCAAAAAAAACGACAAGTTTCTGTCCGGCGAAAGAAAAATATTTCACAATTTCGTCAAAGAGGAAAATCTGTCCATTGAGCCTAACAAAACCCCACTTTCGTCAAAGAAGTCTTCTATTTGAGAGAAATTTGTTCTTTTTTTATTCATTTAATTCTCCTCTCTTTCTCTGTTCTGAACAATGCCATACAATCCATCGATTTTGCTCAGGCCTTTCATCTTCTCTCCTTTTTCCCAACCCTCCCCAAAGGACTCTCTTTCTTCCTCCTCCTTTCCCCTCCCCTATTTTTTCAGTCACAAGCCGATGGGATAAAATGTATAAAACTTGAGAACGAATAAACCAAAATCTTGTTTCCGTCAAATTACGATGCGCAAGAGACAAAAAGGGAAATGGTATAAATTCTATCCTTTTTTGGACCGGGAAGAGTGGGCAAAAGTGACAAAATTGGGGTGTAAGTGAATATAAAGAGGGGATAAAGCACAAGAAATGGTTAGAATGCCACGCGCCTCTGCAAAGCGTCGCTTTTTATCAAAATCACATTCAGACTTCGGGACTCTTTTTGTCGCTGCTCCGCCAGACACCAAGAGTGACTGAATAACGCCAGAGATTTTCCTGATTTAATTTTCCCCCAGCCTTCCTTTTATCCTCTCTCTCCATGAGAGTATCAAAAAAAGCAGGAACACACCTTGAATCTCACGATACAAGCAGGATTATCCCCCAAAACTACAGCACTCAAATTTGCATGACTGCCAAAGAGCGTGTTGACTCTGGGAGGCTGTTTTGTGGGACATCTGATGCTGCGGAGGAAGGATTTGGCGTGTTATTGAAACCAACGAGGGCATTTGTCGGCTCTTGACCCCGGCAGAGATAGTGCGTGAATTCTCCACGCCACTCCATGGACAATAAAACATCCACTTTTATTGCCTTCTGCGGTAATCCCGAGAATTTCGGCCAAGAAATTCACCAACATTGTCACGGTTTTCCCCGCTTTATGTTCAGTTATAATCAGGATTACGTGGACGCAAAAATCCTCCAGGGTTTTCACATTACTTTTTCAACCTTGGCAAGCAAATTAGAAGAGCCCAAAATGTAACATTCTTCCTCAAAATATATATTGAGGAATTTTGCGTGCCGAAGCATCAAAGCGTAAAATGTGAAAATATTGACAAAATTTAAACATATTAATTCCAAAGTCATACTTGAGAAAGTAATTCAATGAAGTTGACTGTTGACTGAGGGTTAAAAGATATATATTTTCCCAGAACATTCTCCTGAGGAGCCATTCAATTTCAACTCCTTCCATGCCCTTAAATCAATTGACTTCAAGATTGACTTTGGGAATTGGGACACTTATTAGAATTACACCCAGAATTTAATGCTTTTTCACTTTGAGGATTTAGAAAATTATTTGATGTCATAAAGTAAACTGGATATTAAAATCCGTCTGGAATTTATAACATTTGAATAGGAGAAGGAAAATTGACTGTAAATTCAACTTACCACTCATAAAATTGTAAATGACTGGATTTACAGCGCTGTTCGCATAGCAGAGCCAATGCGAGAAGAGCGAGAGGACTGAAATGATTTCACTCTGGCCAATATCGATGGTGTATCTGAAATTGAACGTCGCAGTCTTCATGCAAAATCGTCTCCGGGAGTTCCAGATGGAAAATCCCTACCTTAAGACATTGAGTACATTGACGGGAAAATAGCAGCAGGCGAACATCACAACGACCGCCACCAGCATCTTGGCGGCCTTTCGTCTCATCCTCAGCTGACCCATTGTGCCGGAGTTGGCAGGAACTGCGGAGTTTCTCAGATCTACGAGGAAAAATCACTGTCTCAGTGCCTCAATTCTCAGCGAAATACTTGCTAAAGAAGATCAACTCACAAGCACAATTATACTGCTGATGATGTCGCGACTCACGATGGCCAGGAATTGTGTCGGATTTCCATAAAACACGCACAATTTGGAAGTAAGCAATTGTCATTATGAGAAGCGGCAAACTGATGGCGAAGAAACAAAGAGAACAAGTGTGAAAATAATTAAGCAGGATAATTGAGAAAGTGTTGCATTGTAATTTAATTCATTTTAATGAGCGAATGATGACTTTCTTTGAAAGAAAGCATCTAAATTGGAGGAAAAGCATAAATAATTGCTCCTTTGTAACCCTTTTCCCTTGAAAATCTGCAACATTTTTATTAATTCATTAATTAAAATTGAGCTGAAGTGTTTAAGAGTGGAAATTTATCCTAATGAATTTCTATCTTTTGCTCTGGCAAAAGGAAATCTTCGAGTTATGCAAACTTTTGACGACAATTTTGAATTTCACCAAATGTAGCAAAATTTATGAATTTAATTATTATTCGCCTAATTAATACATTATTCAGTATGTGTGCAAAATTGTAATTAGGCAAATAAGCGCACATAACAGAGAAATTATTACATTTTGATATTTATTATCACATTAATTTACGAGCCTTTTATTAAATATAATATTATTATCTATTATAAGCTCTTAATTGTAAAATTACATTTAGCCATTCAATTTATGACTATTTTATCTCTATAAATCACTATCAAAACTTGTAATTTATTGAAAGAAAGAAAGGTTTGAGTAAACAAAGTTTCCAGTCGTCGTTATTTTTGTCCTTCCAGTGTTTCTCTGAAGGATATCTTCACTAAAACTTGTGTAATAAGTTCCAATAGCAACTGAAAAATCCCATTAAACGGTAACTAAAGTACTTTTTATTGACTTGAAGGAACTCAATCTCTTCCTCAAATGAATATATATATCAAACGTAAGGCTCTTCTTTTGATGGAAATGGATGGAATTATCGTTGGAAAATGCTTCCACTTTGATCACTGAACCCCAGTCAAAACTCCCTCGGCAAAAGCGCCTTTGCAGGAATTTGGCAAATTCCGTGACATGGACATGAAAACTCACGTGTAGAGCATCACGAATCGGGCGATGTGGAAGTTCTTCTCCGTCTGATTATCCCACTGTGCGACGCATTGCGTGAAGAGAGTGCTTCCAAACCTCAATTGCTTGTGCTGTGTGGTCAATGTGAGGAATTCCGGAATGTCTGCAGAATCACAAAAGATAGATTAATCGGCAGGAGTTGTAGTGTGAGAGAGCTGAAGCAATTTGCCCACTCGCTTTTGATGGTGAAATTACCCGAAATCAGTGCCACAAGCCAGATAAAGGCGATTGATCCGATGGCTCGCTCATTTGTCGACACATACCGCAGAGGAAAACAAATTGCATACCATCGATCGATGGAAATAAAGGTGAGCGTTAGCACGGAAACAGTCACGGAAACGGTCTGCAAAGAGTGAGAAGAGCAGATAAAGGAATTACAAGTGAAATGACAAAACATACCCAATTAATTATACTAATAAACGAATTGTATTTAGTCTTTCTTATGGGCACATAAGATTCATGGATTGAAAACCATGAAAAGTCAAAATTTGTCCTTTTGTAGAAGTGAAAATTATAAATTTCGTATTAATATTGCTGAAAAATTTGTCAAATTTACTTGAAAACACTTAATATTGCTCTGTAATAATTATTTTATAAATGTTACAGTTGATTTTATTGGTATTTATTCAAATTTTTGACTCAAATATGGCAAAAATTAGTTGAAAAACATTCCAAAGTCTTTTTTTTTTAGTCTTCGAGTTCATTTTATTCAAATAAGTTCTAAAAAAATCCATTTTTCATATTAAACATGATTTTCTTTTCAGAGTTTTCAAGGGAAAAAATTCAAAAATATGATAAATAATCGAATTATTCAAATTCTAAGAATTTTTTAGGAAAATTCTGAAAATCTAAAATTTATATGTTTATCAAAGAGACTATTTTATGTGAATAAATGTAATTTAAGACAATTTTCTTAATAAAAAATGTCCGGCGTAAGCGATGAATAATCGATTTTTCATAAGTTAAGTCATTTGGATAAAGAGGATTTCTAAATAAACAGCTTTTCAAAAATACACAAGACGTAAAAAATAAATGATGAAATGCGGTGAATGATTAGCCCTTCGCGATGTGCGAAGAACAGTGAAGCGAAACTCCCTTCAAATTAACACATACAAAACCTCTTTCGCGCCGACGACGTAACAATGTATCTTCGGGTCACATTCGTTGATTTTATAAAGTTCTTTCAATTCAACATCCCAACTCGCTGGCATTGCTTATCGATTGACACTGCAAAAAACACTTCGCGGCGGGCCAAAAGGCTGACAAAGTGTTATCTTTGCCTTCCCCAACGGAGCCCCACGAGAAGGCCGCATGGCGCTGAGGAAGAGAGCAAGCCAAGAGCACTTGACAGTGTACAGAGCGTCTTTACATGTTTTCGTGCGGCTCTACAGTGTCTGATGGTAAAGTTGAAAAGTTTCTTTGGCTGTTTTGGTGCTTCGCTCATGCTCGGTCCGCCGTCGTGCGCCAACGATTCGCCTCGGCAGCGTCAGTTGTGCCAAAGTCTTCTGCCGAGTGTGTTGCAGTGGCACACAGTGTTTTGTTGTGGGAAAAAAGATTGTTGTTGTTCAATATTTGATGCGCCAATTACATGTGAATTACACAATTCTACTGAGTCTCTTTGCGTAATCGCACGCCGGCATCTGTTGTATCAACAATCTCGCGAGTGAAATTGCGTGTTGGTTGAATTGCCAATGTGATAAAAGTCGCAGAGAGGAACAAATTGATTTTCTGCCACTCTCCGCACTTTGTTGACTCAACACGTTTTGTTCTCATCATCATCACTCGACGACGGTGCGTTTTCTCAGTGCCGGAAAGATGGTCGAGTCGACAGAATACAGCGCAAAGAAGTATCCCATAATAAATCTGTATGAAGAATGGGAACTCTCGCCGAACATCATAAAGACTCTCATCACCTGTGGCATCACAAATAAGGCCATCCTGCGTCAAATGCACCAGCACGACATTAATGAGATCTTCTCAAAGAGGAGTCAAATTGGGGATAAAATATTTTTCAGACACAAATTGCAGAATTGGCGCGAAGAGATCAAGGTAACATTCTTCTCTTTCTCATTTCTTTCTTCTTCTTTTTTTTGTACTTTAGCCCCCAAAAACACATCTCTCAACTCATGCTATGCTTGACTTGATGGAAAATCTCATAAAAGAAATTAAGACGGAGTTTTCCAACTCTCAAGACCCAATCTCAGGCCATCTAATGAATGTTTATCGAGAGGCCAAATCTCATTTTGTGTCGTCTCTCCTCTTCAGCTGCCATCGCTGGTGTGTTGTGACACGATAAGAGTGAAAACATTAGATATCGAGGATGACCTCTCCATATCGCCCATGTCATCGAGATCTTCATCCCCAGAAGCGAGTTCATCGCTCCTGAAAACAGTCGCGATGCCTCTTCTCACGCCAATCATTTCCAAGTCCAATCAACCCATTCAGCTCCACAATATCAGTCCACCATCTCCACATGTGATGCAAACCTCCTCGGCCAGCATCAAAGCCAAGTTTCCGCCCATGATTCCACTCAACACCAAATCCACATACCGCCAAATGCCCACAACGCCAAATCTGGACTTTTCCGAGATTTCGCGCAACTTCGAGGACAACTTTGACCTGGAAGCAGAACTGAGGAAATCCTTCCAAGGACAGAAGATCCTCGAGAACTATCGCAAGTACAATATTCTCGGGAAATCTGATCAAAACAATCTCACTAGAGTTGTTGCAAACTATCATTTGATGACCAAAATGCCACTCTCGGCGCAAATTTACATGTTCTACGCAACGAAAATTCAGGAACTCTTCCCAACGGAGAGCAAAGTAAGCGAGTCACTGAAATATCCTTGAATTATTACTTAAAAAACACATCCTTGCGCTTCTAGGAAACCTACTATCTCCCAGCCAATTACAAGATGCGAAGAGCACCGCGGGGAAAACTGTATGATCGCTTTTGCAACATGAAGCGTCAAACGCGCGCTGATGAGGAATCAATTGTCCAAAACATAAGAACCTACGGAAGCTACCAAATGCAGACGCCGATCTATGAGAACATGACTCCGAGTATCATGAGATTTCAGTTGGAACACTCAGAAGGTACTTAAAGTCACATTTTTGTGTTTATTTACCACATTATTGTTAAATCTGTTTGCAGAGGAATATATCGCGATTAAAGAGTTGCTGTTCAATATCAATGAACCGTGGGAGGATATTGTGAGTGAGTGGAAGAAATCTTCGCCTTATCGTCTCAATGAAATCCGCAATGATGCAGATTCGTCAAAGTCAATTGAGAAATGGCCGAGATATCGCGATCCTCAAGGTTTTGAGCTTGTAAGGAAGATTTTCATGCACTTTCATGGCCTGTAAATAATCTCCTTTTACACACTCTTGCAGATTGATGTGGACTTTGCTGTTATGTATCCAGACAAGTCAGTGGATTTACTTATCAATTACGATACATTCTGTGAGAAAATCCAGCCCATTTACAGATCAGAAGTCAAAGACAAATGGAGTTCTAAGCATTTGGAATTACTAGACAATTTCGATGTCAACAAAGGTACTAAATGTGATGAGATTTCCTTAAATTTCTGCTTACAATGCTTTAATCTTTCAGACACAAAGGATTGCATTACTGCTCTTCTCATCCACGCTGTTATGCATCCTCCTGTGCTGCCAGGACGCATTAAGATCTCCATCACAGACGCTCAGAGAGATCTTGTGCTTGTCATCGATGATATTATGAATTTGGACAATGAGAGAGAGAAGTGGGATCCATCAGAGCCGAAAATAATTGCCGTGGGCGATTCATTTGAGAATCTCCTTGAATTCTACGTGGATTACGATGGAATCTTGTATCAATTGCCGACCTTTATCAAGTGCCTCGACACTGTTATAAAGCTCTGCTTTGTCTTCAACATCAACTACCCAATCAGAAACAAGTACATTTGGACATTCTTTCAGCAATACTTCTTCAAAATCGAATCACCAGATTGTCATCCGAAAATTGCAAATCTCATGGGAAAAATGAACAGTTAATTTCATATCTTTTTCAATTTATATGCCATAAAATAAAGGACGAAGTATCAACCAAGTGTTAACATTCTTTGTTCAAATTGTCGAGGACTTGGTGACAGATTCAAGAAAAATCTTCTTTTGGTGTTTTTCGTCTAAAAATAAATATTCATCAAAAAGGCGAGAATGGACGTGACAAAGTGTGATTCATTTGCACACAGAGGAGAGCCTTTTAATGATTAAATCGAGCTGTTTGGTGCCTTTTTTCTCCCTCCCTCTTAAATTTATACACACTGCGGGGTTAATTTCCATTCTGGACGCCGTGACAAAGAGCATTCACTGGAGGGCTGTTCCGGAGGGAGGTGCCACGCCGACACTCCGGTGGATTCCTCCTCTTCTTATCCCGCCACGCGACGCATTTTCTGCTCCAGAGAGAGAGAGAGTGGAAAAAAAGCAGCAGAACAAGTAAGAGTGTAATATACGAAAAAAAGCGTCTGAAAAAAGGCTCTCATCAAGATGTGAATGACACTTTTGTTAATGATTTTTATCAGCTTCTCTTTGTAAATTTTTGTTTATCAATCGCACGCAGGAAAATTAATTTAACAACTTCGACGCACGAAAGTCAATAGATTTTAACACACGCAAATTTATTTGTCACTGAAGGACATTATTTATAAAGAATTTCATCCATAAATTCAGAAGAGAATTTACTGCAAAATTTAAATTGCAAATTTTCTTGGAAGAAAGCAAATGAACAATTTCTGCGTTAATTAGAGAATGAGAGAAGAAAATACGTTAATTTGCTCATGCTCAAGAGCAATCCTGTGAATTTCCACTGTTTCTTCATGCGGGGCTATTGTGGAAAATTGTCAAATTGAAGACTTGCTGTGGCGAAAGCCCCTGTAGACACAGAGTTCAAGGGGTCAAATGATAATGAAATAATTGAGAGGAAATCAAATTAATTTGTCTGATTATTCTGAGAGGCTGAGGCTTCTTTGGTGCGTGACTCATTTGTCAATTGACATCATCACGATGAAAGCATGAAAAGCCCCTAAGGGAGTGACATGTGAGACGGTCAAAAAGCTCAATTGTCATATGGATGAGAGAATTAACAATAACATCGCTCTATTGATTCATTAAGGAAACATTACACACTATGAACAGAGATGTGTTGATTTCCTGACATTTTATCATTCACATTCGATAGGGCAATCAAATTGCTTTGCATTCATTTCTGTGATCTCCGCAATAATCTGTCCTCTCACAGTCGAGGTTGAGGGCCAGTGTCAAGGACTAATTACAGCAAACCTGTGGACAAGGGACGAAAGCAACGCATGAAATTCGGCCCCCTTTGCACGAGTAACAACGTACAAGGAGAATTGGCAATAAATGCTGCCAAAGGACTAATTTCCTGTCACATGAATCAGCAACATTTATGGTCCTACGGATCATAAATCTTCGGCCGATCCTTGAGTGAAAACCCCCCCACGCACAGGCCAATTCACAAAGTGATCCATCGAAATATGATTAGGTGGAAAGAAATTATGAATTAGGCCGTGTAATTCCGATGTGTAATTGAATTGTCCGCTCCCAATGAACCGCTGACCCAGTGAATGGCTGCTGATGGGACAACTTTCAATGGGCTTTAAGGGCAGAAAAATTGAGAGAAAGAGGATGAAAAGAGCGTCACTGGATGACGCAAATTAACGAGGGTGAATCAATCACAGTGTAATGGTCAAGTGGCGACAGAATGGGCGGTCGGACTTTTCCGGATTCGCCCCTGGCATCCCTCTCGCCAGACTACTCAAGTGGCTTCGAAAGCACCCAAGAATATCCCATTTGCACGATATTTCAATTTGTAATTTCCGACTTTTTGTGTCAATGACGCTTCATTGTGTGCTCCTTAAAAGGATATTATGAAAGCGCTTCAAGAGAGAGAGAGAGAGAGAGAGAGAGAGAGAGAAAGAATAGCTTAATGTGACCTACATCATACGATACAGTGAGTAATTATTATATATTGTTTGTGCTGATTTTATTTGTGTGACTCTGAAAAACAGAATTATACAACAAATGTCCAAATTTCAAGTATAGAAAATGTAAGCAACAGGTAAAGTCAATAACAAAACCTCATGCGCTCCCTTATCTGCTAAACTTCTATTTATATTTCCACCCCGGGATTGAAAATGTAATGAAAAATCCCTGCCCACAAGTAAATATTGACTTTTCTGCTATTGAATTTGGGGGAGAAATTTTCGGAAAAGTTTTGATTTAAATAGTTTAGGAAGAAATTTAATCAGTTTCGCTTCTCCTGACAGTATCAAAACCATTGCTCCTTGTGCGAAAGGGCGGTATGAATGTCTGAGATGAAGAAGAAAAGTGAAAGGCTCTGAGGTCACTTTCATATATTGGCAAAATTGAATTTTGTGTCTTGAGAACAAATAGAAAATTGTGTTTTGAAAGTCTCTCCTAACATGAATAAGAGTTTCCTGAGTGAAAAAGTGACAAGACCTTCAATGGGATTGACACATTTTATCTCCTCCTCGGATCCATTCATTCGGCAGTTTCATTGAAAACCATTGAATAACTGGGTCTCTTGTGGATATATTCTAAATCTGACACTTTCGCTTGAGGAAATTTACATTAATGATAGGTTTATGGGGCGGTAGCAAGTGATATTGATATCATTGGGTTCTTCGGGGCTCTTGGGCAAAAAGACGAAAATTGAGAAGGGCGACAACGAGAGTTACAATCAGTATGGCCATAGTGCCAATTAACTCTGCCCCTTTTGCCATTTTGCACCCACACCATAAGACGAAAAAGTCTCTCCTTATACAAGAGAGTTGCCTGGTTGTCTGATTATCAAGTTCGGGCATAAGGAAGATTGGGTGTTTGACCCTAATTTTCACTCATTCGCACAGAAAATCACTCCTTCAACACCCACGAAAAGAAGCGCCAGACTCATCAGTTAGTGAGGCGTTAAGAGAATCAATGAGTTCTCTCCCTTTTCATTTCCCACCCCCCCAAGATTATTTATATATAAATACACTTGACTTTCACTTTCAATTCTCTCTCCTTTCATTTCCTCTTCAATTCCTAGCCTCTGTGTGACATTGATAGAGCTCATATTGATTAACTTTCCTCGCGTGTACACTCAAACAACTCACCCACTGGGATGCTGTACATTTTAATCAAACTTCCCCTCAACTATTTAAAATAAATTGAAATTCCGCATCGCGTCAGATCTACACCAGTGTGGCAGCGAATGAAAAAGGGCCCATTTTATTTATTTAGGAATTAATTTCATGGATTACACCCAATTCAATTCATCATTGTGATTTCAGTGGAGGAAATGTTGTCTCCGCCAACACTCCGACCACTCTCAAGACACACCATCACTTCAGGTTTGTGTTCTTCTGCAAAGTTCATGTCTTAAGCACTCATCTTGAGACTCTGCGGAAATTGATATTAATTGTTCAGGGCATTTGCTCTCCTCTCCACAGCAAAACACATGTCACTCAATTAAACGAACAATACCTTTAATGATAAGCGGTCAATCGCCTTTAGTTGCGGAAAATGAGAAAAATCTATTCAGTGTGGAATGCTTTTGGGCACCCAAAATTAATATTTGGTTGTGATATGTTGATATAATATCTAATAAATTGACAGTAAATTTAATCAGTGAGTCTATGAACACATATTAAAAGCATTTAAATTCAATTTTGGACACGTTTCACGCCCAAATAACTCTGCACAAATTATTAGTATTAACCACATAGTGCATAAATGTATTTTAATTTCTCTACTCAACACAAAATCTCATGGTACAAAAGAGCACAAAAAGGCGTCACTGTCCTGGATAGAGTTCAAAGGAAGGTCAATATCGTTATAGCCAAAATCTGAAATTCCCTTGAGTGATTTCCACAAGGCATCCCTGCGGGTGTTGTAAATCAAATTTACATGATTGAATTCAAAGGCTAGACTGTCATTCAATTCCTGGCTGTATTTGACTACGCACTTCCGAGAGATATTTAGGCTCTCTCTCTTCTGCTATCGCGCCTCGTTTCCACTAATCTCGCAAAGCCTAGAGCACTCTCAGTCGATATTCTAGAATACCATGTGAGTGACTCTTGAATTCTTTTTATTTCTATCACGTTCCTCAGCACTTCCGTGAGTCCTCTTGAGAGTTTTCCGAACTCTGGCACTTTTTCCACACCCACAGTCGGTATTTCACACTAGAATTCCCAATATTATTTATTTAATCAAATTGATACGAAAGCCATGTCTAAGAATGTCTTTCGTACATTTCCGCCTCACAGCACTTATGCTAAATTTTTCTCACCCAGTGACAGAGTGCGAGAACAAGACGCCCAACTAGTTTCACATAATTGAATTTCCCACACGCAAATTTCCCCGTCGTGCACAAACCATCGATACCCATCAAAAAGTGTCAGGGAATGATAAATTGCGTCAATTTACGAGAATATTACCCAAAAACACCCTCGGGTTTCATTCTGATGTTTTTTTTCACTTCAACATGTTGCACATCAAACAAACAACCTCAGGTCATGAAGCTGCACATGAAATAAATACACCGGATAAGCTGAAATGTTAGCCAATGTTTTATATGTCACAGTAATTAACGCTATTAACAATTAACAGAGACTATAAATAAATTAACTTATTGCCCTCAAAGCATTGTCAGTTTATTTACTTTAAATGTCCGTTTAACACTCAAATACTGGATGGAAAATTCCTCAACGTGAATCTCTTAAGTATTAAAATACTTGGGAAAATTTTACAGCATTTTAAACAAGTGCAATATTCGTAATCACCAATTTTACACAACATTTTTTTCCATCCCACTTGCTGCTGTCTTAGGCAAATTCAATGAGAATTAATGAAAATTTATGGTTTTCGAAGGGGAGCGCATGGCAAAAATGCTGCCTCGAGTCTTGCACATAACTTTCCTCATGGATACCCTCACCATTAATTGTAATGTTCAATTTACACCAAATTTTTTTCAGGCGCCTATTTCTGCACAAAAGAAAAGGTCCAAAAGGGCGGCGCTGCGA